GTAAGAGCCGCTCTCATCCGCGCGGGGACCGGGCCCCCGCGGGCCGGGGCGGGGACCGGGCCCAGCGCCGGGGGGGACCGAGAGGCAGGAGGGGACCGGGGGCAGGAGGGGACCGGGCTCCGTCCGCTCCGGCCGCGGGAGGAGGCGGAGGAGGAGGAGAGGAGGGATGGAGGGATGGAGGGATGGAGGGATAGAGGGATGGGGCCGTGGGGCTGTTCGGTGGGACCGGGGCGGGGGGGGGGGAGGCTGGGCCCGGGGTTGAGGCTCGGGCCTCCCGCTGCTCTCCGCGGATGCAGCGGCAGGAGGCGCTGGCCGCGGTGCTGAAACTCAGCCTCCTCCCTCCATCCTCCATCTCTCATCCCTCCATCTTTCATCCCTCCATCTCTCATCCCTCCATCCTTCTTCTCTTTCCACTCGCGGTGTCGCGCTCGTGTCGCGGTGACACGCGCTGAATACAGAAGCGGAGAGGCGCGGGATGCGCGGAACCGCAATGTCGGGCCCCGGTCCCGTTAGGCCCGGGGGTGCGGCGGGTGCGGGGTGTGTGTGGGGGGGGTGGGCAGATGGGGGGTGGGGCAGATGGGGGGGCGGGGGTGGAGGTCAGTGTGGTTTCCGCTCTGAGGCTCGCGCCGCAGAGGCCTCGCGGTGAATGCGGAGGTTTTTTCATTGCGGCCTGCCGCGCGCCTCCTGCCGCAGGTGGAGACGCGGCGGACGCGGCGGACGCGATGCCGCTTCCGCGGTGTTTGGGGGGAGGGGGAAGCCTCACCCACTGTCCGCACCGCGCCGCACCGCGCCGCACCGCGCCGTGCCGCTGCGGTCACCGCTGACGCGGCTCTGCACCAGCGCCACGCGCCGCCTCCTCGCGGGTTCAGCCGGGTTCACGTGACCGCGCACCGGCGTGACACCCGCGCGTGCACGATGGGCTTTGATTTAAGAACTAAACCAGGACTAAACCAGGTCTAAACCAGGTCTAAACCAGGACTAAACCAGGTCTAAACCAGGACTAAACCAGGACTAAACCAGGTCTAAACCAGAACTAAACCAGGACTAAACCAGGACTAAACCAGGTCTAAACCAGAACTAAACCAGGACTAAACCAGGATTAAACCAGGTCTAAACCAGGTCTACACCAGGACTAAACCAGGTCCAGACTGGTCTCTCTCACTGGAGTTATGTTCATACTCATACAGAATATTCGGAGCTAATACTTGTACTTCACAGCGTGTACTTCAGTACTTCAGAGTGTGTACTTCAGTACTTCAGAGTGTGTACTTCAGTACTTCAGAGTGTGTACTCTTCACTTGGGGCTGTGAGCTCCTGCTGCAGCCACAGACGCCCCGGGGCAGACTGACAGAAGTGAGGATGACAATCTGCACCATGGGCCCCTCCCAGACCAGGACCAGACCAGGACCAGGGACCAGGACCAGGACCAGACCAGGACCAGACCAGGACCAGGACCAGGACCAGGACCAGGACCAGGACCAGGACCAGACCAGACCAGACCAGGACCAGACCAGGACCAGGACCAGGACCAGGACCAGGACCAGGACCAGGACCAGACCAGGACCAGGACCAGACCAGGACCAGTCTGGATTCTTGTTGCTCGAGTTTTTTTCTTTCACCTTTAGATTCATGTTTTTGGATCATTCAGAATCTGAGCAAAACATCATGGTCCCTGTTCAGAGCGGGTACAGAGAGGCGGGTACAGAGAGGCGGGTACAGAGAGGCAGGGAGAGAGGCACAGAGAGGCACAGAGAGGCGGGTACAGAGAGACAGAGAGGAGGGTACAGAGAGGCGGGGCGGGTACAGAGAGGCGGGTACAGAGAGGCGGGTACAGAGAGGAGGGTACAGAGAGGCGGGTACAGAGAGGCGGGTACAGAGAGGCGGGCACAGAGAGGCGGGTACAGAGAGGCGGGTACAGAGAGGAGGGTACAGAGAGGAGGCGGGTACAGAGAGGCGGACAGAGAGGCGGTACAGAGAGGCGGGTACAGAGAGGAGGGTACAGAGAGGCAGAGAGTACACAGAGAGGCGGGTACAGAGAGGGGGTACAGAGAGGAGGTACAGAGAGGCAGAGAGGACAGGGAGAGGGTACAGAGAGGCGGGTACAGAGAGGAGGGTACAGAGAGAGGGAGCAGAGAGGCAGAGAGGCGGGTACAGAGAGGAGGGTACAGAGAGGCGGGTACAGAGAGGCGGGTACAGAGAGGCACAGAGGGCGTGGTGCGTTGGCACAGGTTTTCCTCCTGACCCAGGAGCGCCTGATGCCCGTCATGTTACTCTGTAGTATTTGCAGTTACACAACTCTCCCTGGCATCACCACCACCCCTGTGCCCACCCCCTGTGCCCGTCTCTCTGTGCCCGTCCCCCTGTGCCCATCCCCCTGTGCCCATCCCCCTGTGCCCATCCCCCTGTGCCCATCCCCCTGTGCCCCCTCCCTGTGCCCATCCTCTGTGCCCGTCCTCTGTGCCCGTCTCTCTGTGCCCATCCCCCTGTGCCCATCCCTCTGTGCCCATCCCCCTGTGCCCGTCCCCCTGTGCCCTCCCTCTGTGCCCCTGTGCCCCCCCCTGTGCCCGTCCCTCTGTGCCCATCCCTCTGTGCCCGTCCTCTGTGCCCATCCCCCTGTGCCCGTCCCTCTGTGCCTCATCCCCTGTGCCCATCCCCCTGTGCCCGTCCCCCTGTGCCATCCCTGTGCCCGTCTCTCTGTGCCCATCCCCCCTGTGCCCATCCCCTGTGCCCGTCTCTCTGTGCCCGTCTCTCTGTGCCCATCCCCCTGTGCCCATCCCTCTGTGCCCATCCCCCTGTGCCCGTCCCTCTGTGCCCGTCCCTCTGTGCCCGTCCCCCTGTGCCCGTCCCTCTGTGCCCGTCCCTCTGTGCCCGTCCCTCTGTGCCCGTCCCTCTGTGCCCGTCCCTCTGTGCCCGTCCCGTGCCCCCCTGTGCCCGTCCCGTCCCCCTGTGCCCATCCCTCTGTGCCCGTTCCCTCTGTGCCCATCCCCTGTGCCCGTCCCTGTGCCCATCCCTCTGTGCCCATCCCCCTGTGCCCGTCCCTCTGTGCCCGTCCCTCTGTGCCCGTCCCTCCCTGTGCCCGTCCCTCTGTCCCGTCCCCTGTGCCCGTCCCTCTGTGCCCATCCCTCTGTGCCCATCCCTCTGTGCCCTCTGTGCCCGTCCCCTGTGCCCTCTGTGCCCTCTGTGCCCATCCCCCTGTGCCCGTCCCCTGTGCCCCATCCCTCTGTGCCCGTCCCTCTGTGCCCGTCCCTCCTGTGCCCCCTCTGTGCCCGTCCCTCTGTGCCCATCCCCCTGTGCCCGTCCCTCTGTGCCCATCCCTCTGTGCCCGTCCCTCTGTGCCCATCCCTCTGTGCCCATCCCTCTGTGCCCGTCCTGGTGCCCGCTGACACTGGGCAGGTCAGACTCTGGTGTTGTTTCAGATTCGTGTTTCTGGAGTTTTTGGAGTTTGTAGAATTTGAATTTATACAAAATGTTTTTGTGCTTCTCAGAATTTAAAGAAAAAGTGACGCTCCTCATCAGGAGGTTGTGGGTTTGATTTCAGGTTTTGGTTTGATTCAGGTTGTGGTTTGATTCAGGAGGTTGTGGGTTTGATTCTTCAGGAGGTTGTGGGTTTGATTCTTCAGGAGGTTGTGGTTTGATTCTTCAGGAGGTTGTGATTGGAGGTTGTGGGTTTGATTCTGTTGGAGGTTGTGGGTTTGATTCTTCAGGAGGTTGTGGGTTTGATTCTTTGGAGGTTGTGGGTTTGATTCTCAGGAGGTTGTGGGTTTGATTCTTCAGGAGGTTGTGGGTTTGATTCTCAGTTGTGAGGTTGTGGGTTTGATTCTGTTGGAGGTTGTGGTTTGATTCCTCAGGAGGTTGTGGGTTTGATTCTTCAGGAGAGGTTGTGGGTTTGATTCTGTTGGAGGTTGTGGGTTGATTCCTCAGGAGGTTGTGGGTTTGATTCTTCAGGAGGTTGTGGGTTTGATTCTGTTGGAGGTTGTGGGTTTGATTCTTCAGGAGGTTGTGGGTTTGATTCTTCAGGAGGTTGTGGGTTTGATTCTGTTGGAGGTTGTGGGTTTGATTCTTCAGGAGGTTGTGGGTTTGATTCTTCAGGAGGTTGTGTGTTTGATTCTGTTGGAGGTTGTGGGTTTGATTCCTCAGGAGGTTGTGGGTTTGATTCCTCAGGAGGTTGTGGGTTTGATTCTTCAGGAGGTTGTGGGTTTGATTCTTCAGGAGGTTGTGTGTTTGATTCTGTTGGAGGTTGTGGGTTTGATTCCTCAGGAGGTTGTGGGTTTGATTCCTCAGGAGGTTGTGGGTTTGATTCTGTTGGAGGTTGTGGGTTTGATTCTGTTGGAGGTTGTGGGTTTGATTCTTCAGGAGGTTGTGGGTTTGATTCTGTTGGAGGTTGTGGGTTTGATTCCTCAGGAGGTTGTGGGTTTGATTCTTCAGGAGGTTGTGGGTTTGATTCCTCAGGAGGTTGTGGGTTTGATTCTGTTGGAGGTTGTGGGTTTGATTCTGTTGGAGGTTGTGGGTTTGATTCTTCAGGAGGTTGTGGGTTTGATTCTGTTGGAGGTTGTGGGTTTGATTCCTCAGGAGGTTGTGGGTTTGATTCTTCAGGAGGTTGTGGGTTTGATTCCTCAGGAGGTTGTGGGTTTGATTCCTCAGGAGGTTGTGGGTTTGATTCCTCAGGAGGTTGTGGGTTTGATTCCTCAGGAGGTTGTGGGTTTGATTCCTCAGGAGGTTGTGGGTTTGATTCTGGTTCTGTTGCTGGTCTCTGTCCGTGGTGCTGAAATCGACGGGTCTCATGTTGTAAACACGACTTCTGTCCGGAGCGTCGTCCTTGACTCTGCCTCACGTGCACGCTCACACACTCACGTGCACGCCCCTGCTGTGTGTGTGTGTGTGTGTGTGTGTGTGTCTGTTGTGCGTCTTTGTGCGTCTTTTTGCGCTCACACTGAGATTATTTTACAAATCTGTAAAACTCAAATCCACAAAGGTTTTTTCCCTTTTTTCCCCGATCAGTG